AAATAATAGCGGAGAGTTAAAAGATAAACAATAAAATACAGTAATGGATATTTGAAAATAGCAGCAACATCAGAGATGTGCAAAAGCAGTATGTTATTTAACTGACTACGATAGAAACTGTGCAAAATCAGCATAAATGTAACAAATTATTGAGGTTGTTTGGAGCAGTGGCTATAGAATTTTACAGCTGCTGGGAGGAGGGATCTGTGATAACACGCCCTGGTGCATTTAGGGTGCAGCAGTCAGTCACTGATGGAGCTCTCCAGTTCTGCAACAGCTTCATGAATGGGGTGGGGGACATTATCCAACAGAGATGTTAGTTAAGTTAATTAGTTTTAGACTCAACTTTATTTATCCCTTGTGATTACTCCTTCAGGGAAATTCTGGAGTTAGACTGTATTTCTGATGGAAAAGCAAAACAAACAAAGAAACACTAAAAACAACTCAGAGGAAGTTGCATTGAAAGTTTCAGACAACTCATTAAAGGGACAAAATATACCATCCTCACATGGTTCAATAGATAAATTAGGTTAGATAGGCAATTGTTTAGCAGGAACAGGAAAACTGATCTATGGGAGATAGGTTAGGGTTATGATTGGGCAATTCTGCTACAGACAACATTTCAGCTTCCATCTGGATGTCAAGCCTTAATAGTAGGGCTAATAGTATTTGCTTTACAAATCGTTAATATGTGGATTATTTCTTTCGATTAATCAATTAATAATCAGATAGCAAAATCTTCCTTAAAGAGGACATTTTGTGAAATTAAACCAGGTGAAACTAAAACTTTTCCACTTGAGGAGTTCTGGATAGAGCATATTGACAGACGGAAAACATTCTTATCTTAAATGTAAAATGTCTGTATGTATATATATATATTTTTTTTACAATTTTGGTATAATTGCTGCTCAAGGTTGGTTTCTCTGTCAGCTGAAGCCATGTTTTACGGTCTCTACATTACAGTTAACAACTAATGGATTAATAAATTAGTTGATGATTATGTCAATATTCAATTAGTTATGATTAATCCGATTAATTGTTTCAGCCCTACTTAATAGCAATGAATAAAGACATATTTATGCCATTGAATGGTCCATTCAAAATCAAAACCTAAATTCAATTAGACTGTCTATCCAGTTTGACTGAGCTCTCCAGACAAAGGTCCACAATCTCAGTATCTAAATGTTTAAAGTTGGCAGAAACAAACCCCCAAAAAAGCTTCATGCTGTAAGTACAATGAAGAACAGCTCCACAGTTCCTAGGATTTTCCTAATCTACAGGTCGATTCTTTACCAGACATTACAGACATTTAAGCATGAAAAATTTGTCTACTTCAAAGTCATCGAGTGAGACAATTCTGACAAATCTATTGATGACAATGGGCAAAATGTGAAAGAGCAACAAAAAAGCACAGAACTTTCAGGGAAATTAGTTGCTCATTCTAGCATCGCCATAGACATTAGCGGACCACGGCAGAAGAAAATAATAATTAGGTTTGATTATGTGAACAAAACGTTAACATCTACAAACGTTACACATGAGTCAGCTGAATATGCAACAGGCTCTAGATATTAAAAAAAAAAACGTTTATATGCAGCGGAACATAATATGAAGTAGGCTACCACCTCGAAATCAGTAAGCTTTTTCACAATGGTTGTGTATTTTGTGAAATAATTACCAAAAGCATCGATTCTGTCACACTTTTGAATGGACTGTAAGCATTTACATCAAACTATTAGACAAGATTATTGTTGTATTTAAAGCTAGATGGTTTCACTGGTGCTCAAACTTTTGTACTGAATTTCTCTGTCACAACATTAAGATGAATCCAAACGTATGCATTAGTGGAGCCTCTCTACATGCAAGATGTGCAATAGATCTGACAACTTAGACAAACTTACAACTATGAAGAGAACATGATGAGGTATTGCAGGCAGCAGGTAAAGGACTAGACCCACTTGGCATTGCTTCAGATTATTTGTGTTAAACAGAAGGAAGAAAAAAAAAACATGTTTTTATTCCATAATTTTCTCATCATTGGCTTGTAAGGGCACAAAAGGAAGAGCTAAAAATTTTAGATAAAAAAAAATATCGGTTGCATCTGAATGGAACCAGCACTTTGACACTAAACTGCCGTGAATAGTCTTGGTCTTTAGTAAAACATCTAGAGAGAACGGCTATTGCACATGCTTAGAGGCTTTGCAAAATATCTCATTCTATAACTCTTACAGCATCTAGAATGTATTACTTCTATATATTTGTTCAATTGAAGCTGAAATTGTAGTTGTAAAACCATGACTGCAATGACTGTTGTAAGAACTGACTGCAATAACAAAGCAAAATGTTTCATCAAAGCCCACATCACTTTTTAACAGCTATCAAGGGATGCCAGTTAAATCCCTAACATGTCTATTCACCATCACACGTCCTTGAAGACATCTGAGAAAGGCCTCCCATCCTTTAGGCTAAGTCTTTTTCTAATATGCAGCCCACTTGAGCGGTTCCCACCTCCTCACAGGCTTTCCCAGCGCGCTGAACACTCCGGAGGGCCTACACCACCCTCAAACCTCAGTCAGAGTCAGCGCCAACTGGGCCTCCAGCTGCTTAAACTTTAGCATAAACAGATCCACATGAGCTTGGAGGGAAAAAAGAAGGGAGGGAGTGAGATCCATCTGCTGCTGCTCTGGTTCAATCTCTCCACTGGAAGAATGCGTGAGCGTGACAGAGGAGGTAGAAGAATATCTGCCATTCTCAAGCTGCGACTTACACACTGACACTGGTCCTTTTCTCTTTCCGCAGCCAGACAAGAAAGAAAATCTCTCTTTTATTTTCCTGATTACACTCTGCAAAGTAGGTGGGCAGGAAGAGACAAAAGAAGAAAAACGAAAAGAGAAAACTTGGCAAAGAGTTAGCTTTGAAGGGATGGAAAATCACCTATGAATTAAGCTCCAGATCTAAGGAAGAAGTAGAAAATAATGCCTCTCAAATTGCAGCTTATTAAAATCACCTGAAACCAGAACCGCAGGAGCGAGAAGGCAAAACGTGATTTACCGGGATTTGGCCTCAGAGGAATGTTTGGAATAAACAGCAGACCATGCTGGAGATAAGGTCATGTGTTTTGACTTGGCCATTTTGAGACGGATAATTTATACAGGTCGTTTTCTAACTTGACACATGTGTCAGTGTTTGCTTGTTGTGAAAACAGCATCCCTGCCAGACACGCACATTGTGATAGCACGGCTGTCACTCAATGTTAGGGGACTCACACATGATTGCACTATGACATCACAAGTGGACAGAGGAAGGATTATGAGTGGGCACCCAATACTTAGTCCAATTGCTAAGGCTTCAACGTCACAGAAAACAAAGAAAACATCATAAATATATAGTATATAGTATGAGTTGTAAAGTGAAATGGGGTGTGCATTTAAACCACCCACCTTACTCTGATATCCCTAAATAAAATACAACGTGACTGCTTATTCTCAGTATTAAAAACTTGAAATTCACTGTAAACTTTTTGTTTTTTGTTTGTAATATTTTCTTTTACTTAAAATTCTAATAAAGTACCTTATTTGTTTTTTCATAACAAGACAAAAGGTAAATAGTCTTGCAGGGTACTTTGGGCTTTTTCATTTATGTACACATTATAATCTTTCCGACCTTGTCATTGTCAAAGTAGAGTTCAGTGGACTGACTGGAGCTGTATAGGAGGGTATTACAGGCCTGTGTTATTACAAGTCATTTTTATGAACTTTATTATGTCTTGCACCTGTGGCTGCTGCACCCTGCATCTCTTTTAAAGGGAGCTTTGTTGTCAAGGCTAGCTGTGAGGGGTGAGACGGGTTTTTCATGCATGCACTATGTGGGTGTGTGTGTGTTTAGAGGTGAAAGAGGTTGTTTCAGGCTCTGAACTGCAACTTACACATGGCCCAGCTCATGAGCGATGGTAAAGGAGGCACTAATTCCATTTTCTTCACTGATGGAACAGCTGCGAAACGGGTCACACATGGTGCCAAGCTCTGCAAGCCCTACAGATAAACACACACATAAACAAATACATAAAAATTCACATATTTTACAGTTAATAGTTTAATAAACAGATTGTTAAACATTTTATGAGCTGCTGCATGTCAGGTGGAAATTGCTTTGAAAGGGACGTAAAAATATAGTTTACCTAAAGTGTCACATTTATCTTTTGCACGGCAAATATCTTCCCTGTAGGAAGAAAGACAATATTATTCTTAGATGTGTGTTTACACAAACGAGTTGGATTAATAAGCACTGCAGATGAGTGTGCACCTGGTGATAAGAAGTGCTGTGTCGTGGTGAGAAGGATGGTTGTCGTCCTGGACATTTTGGCCCTGCTGCCAGACACAGAAGTTGTGGAGCGTGGTGGCAGCGTTGAAGCTCACAGTGGGCCCCTCCTGTTTCAGTTGAAAAGGGATTCATTGATTAAAAAGAAATCCCTAATTTACAGTTACTTAACAGGTTTGTTAAGTATAGATAAAGTGTTGTTTAAATGTTAAAAAGCTGTTTATATATTTGATAAAATAGATCACTTTCTTTGGTTCTCTTCACTGATAATGCAAAGCCAAATGTTTGTTTGAGAGACAACAGGTAAAATTGCAGTTCTGTTGTCTTAAAACAGTTTGATCTCAAAAATAACCATTATCTGATATCTACAAATGGCTACCTGGAAGGAGAAAAGGACATCTATCACGTTTTTTTTTTTAAATTCCAAACACACTGCTAAGTTTAGTTTTCTCAGCACATTATTAACAAGAAAAAAGGATTGCAAGCATAGTACAGTTCCTGTAGCTTAAAGCCAGGCGTACTGTATTCTGTGGGATATTTTCAATTGTTGCACGCTACTAAAGCTCAAACTGTACGACACTTTCTGACACTGTGCGGCCCGACGCCCTGATGCAACCTTCAACATCCAACTGAATGTCAAACATGTTTGATTTTCTCCTGAACTTACGATTCCTGATCGGGAGGTGGTCATGAGAGGCTTATCGCCCTCGTTACCCCCTATACACTACATGACGTACGATGAGGCTGGAAGTCGGCCCGATCAAAAAATTCTTGCACAACTGGAGATTTGGCCCGAAAAGCGTAAAAAATCGTACAGTATATGCATTTGAAAATTACACAAAAACAGAAACTTTGTCAGGAGAGTTTATTGAAGAATATAGGTGTAAATTGAGAAATAAGATGAAAAACAGATAGTAAAAACAAACAGCTTTTAAGTGAGATGATATTAGGAGAAGCTCTAGTCATTAAAAAAGGTGTTGAGAACATTTCTAGCCTATTTACATTGGATGGATATTATCCACTCAAGATCAAGTCTGGCCGTGATCTATTTACTGCTGAAAGAAACACACTGCAAAAATGATCTCAAAATGAGTAAAAATGATGTATTAAAAAACATATTTGGCACAGTTTGATGACATTTATGGATAAATGTGCCAAAATGGCCTCTCCGCCTAAGAAATTTCTCACTAATACCATTCTAAAATAAATATGATTCATCTGATTGAGTCCAAATTTGGTATATTTTTACACAACATTTAGATTTGAAAGTCTGTACTACTTTTTTGTGCTATAAATAATATTTTGGTAGTGTTTTGCAATGTTTAAGATATTATTTTATGGAACTGCAGAAGTCCGGTTTAGGACTAGAGTAGTATTAAATAGTAAGAGATATATCACCTGCAAGTAACATATGAACTGCCTATAATCCTTTAGCAGCTCCCCAACTCCAAAATCATTGAACTAGATCTTTAAAACCCTGCTAAATAAAAGAAGTTCAAATGAGTAAAAGCCTTGTCCACAATTTAGGATTTCTTTTAAATATATTTTTCTCTTCTAATTTAACCTAGCCTCCAAACATTATAGAAAGTTTTCAAAATCTAGAATGCATCTTCAGGGAACCCCACTGCCAATTCCCTTTTGCAGGTGCTTTACAAAAGTATCACTTGTTCTCCAAGGAAAGAAGACCCCTCATGTGACTTGAGACTGACAAGGAAGGCAGAGTAATTTCATGCAGGCCACTTGAAAAAGAAAATCCAAACCAGAGACACCTGTGATGACGTCAGCCATACTGAAGACCTGCATACACTGAAGAGCAGTCAAGGTCCTTGTACTCACCTGCTCATTGTGGATGACGACCAGCTTGACAATCATGATGTTAATAAGGTTTCCTACACTGGGGTCTCTGTATATTGCTGCTACCTGTAACAGAAATAAAACACAGAGACAAAAAAATGCACATCTCCACTAACCTGCACAGACTTTAAGATAAATTAGGACATCATAACTACTGTATAATTTTGTATTATATCGGTTTAATTTGTCTAATGAGAGTAAAAATCCCTCAGTTTGGATAAGATAAACAGCAGATATCTAATCAATCTTCTGCTGCTCTGGAACCCCCCAGTCATGGTTGGCCAGGGGTCTCCTGGGGCTCCGTCCGGCCTCCTGACAGGAACTCATTAGTCTACCATAAACATTTAGCTTGTCTTAGCCTCGGGGTAGGCAAACGTGGTCTCGGCCTACATGTAGGGAGCTTGTCTTTGCAGGCTCTTACTCTAAGAGTGACATATGAGATGTGGGTGCATTTCCTCTTGCTTCAGTGAATGTTATGTGACCAGTGCAACAATCAGAGGTTGAGGCCGCTGTAGCCTGAAGGATCTTTGATCAAACTAAACAGAGATAGAAATGTAAGAAACATAACAAAAACAGCAGGATAATGTTATGTTTTTTTTAAAGCAAACAGTACAAGTATATTTACAACTTCTGTTAGACGTTTACATAAAACTATTATAAATATTAATTGCATCCTTAATCAGAACTTTAAAGACAGATTTTAATAGGCTTTGCAGATATCTAAATGGACAGTTTTATTGCCTTTGTGGGAGATGTTTAAAACACAACCATCTAAGCACAAAGTTATGTTTAATAATAGCCAGTGTCCAAGTATGTTTGCCAAAGCCAGCAACCCTTAAACAACCAAAACATCCTTTATTTACCTATGATACTACAGAATAAAACCTTATAAAGATATATCTTTTCAACTTTTATGTGTGATATAAATTGGTTAGTTTTACAGTTAGCATCTCATTTTTATTTATATGTCTACGTTAAGATAAGAGAAAACTATATTTTAGTTTATTTATCTGACAAAATAACCTGTAAAAATGGATTATTAAAGTGGAATCTAGTTTGTATTCTAATGAAAAAAAAATTTAAGTATGATTTCTAGATTCTACCTCCTATTCTGTTTTGGAAAAAATATGCCAATTTCACTTGAAAAAAATCCTAAAACTTCTGAAACAAGCCATTTTTCTATATTTATGAGTACAGCTAATGCCTGTATCACTTTTGCTCCAAGTTATTAAAACTCACAGTGGAGGGACCAAAGAGCCCATATGGCTCAGGCTGCTCACTGAAAAATGTTTTACCTAATGTTAATTACTCAAAATGATTCCAGCTAAATTAATCGGTTTCACTCAAGCTTTAATTCTGAACTGATCAAAACTGATCTTTCTTGTCTAAGTTAAGTCAACAATGTGTGATACTGAACCAAAATGTGAAACGGTATACATTTAAAAGTGTATTTATTGCAGAGATTAGATACATGACGCTTTAATGTAATCCACTATTTCACATTGATCCATCATAATTTATCGATCATAGAGATTATAGGATTTATAGCTCATGATATTTATTTAAATGATATCATAAGGGCTGCTTAGTGGATCAGTGGGTAGGACTGCTGCCTTGCAGCAAGAAGGTTCTGGGTTCGATTCCCAGCCTGTGGTCTTTCTGCATGGAGTTTGCATGTTCTACATGCATGCATTCTCTAATGGTACTCTGGCTTCATCTCACAATTGAAAACATGACTGTTAGGTTGATTGACTTTTCTAAATTCTCCTTAGGTGTGAGTTTGTGCATGAATGGTTGTTTGATTCTGTGTTGCCCAGCGATGGACTGGCACCCTGTCCAGGGTGCTCCCCGCCTCTCGCCCATAGACAGGTGGAGATCGGCACCAGCACCCCTCGACTCCCAGCTGTGTTAAAGCGTGATGGAAAATGAATGAATGAATGGATATCTAAAGGAGTAAATCTTTCATATTTTCAAACTTAGTTGTGGGAAGGACAGACCTTATCCGATTATTGATTTTCACAATGTGGTGTTATGACACTATTACCTTTGACTTGAGGTATATTTACCTTGCAACTTATTTTTACTGTAAAGTAAAATGAATGGTTTTAAAACAAAAATACAAGTTTTCATTTCAAACACTATCATTTTTTATTTAACCAAATGACACGGACTTTCACTTTTTTCAGTGCTGTTTTTGGATTAATGTCTTTGACAAAGTAAATGAGATAAACTTTACAGAAACATCATCACCAACAAAACATTAAACCTGCTTCAGTGGAAGTGGAAACAAAATAATTTGATGCCTTTCTGCTTTAATTTTGTTTTTTACTTTTTGGAGTAAAGGCTGTGAGATTTTTTAAGGTTATCAGACCATGGGGAATCTTCGACTTGTGTTTAAACCTGGTAATAAAAGCTAACACATTGTTTTACTGACCTCCCTCTTTTGAACAACAACACAACACTGACAATCATTACTCTCTCCTATGTTAATAAGTGCTCAGAATCTGCGGTTAATGAAACTGGAAAGACATGGCAGAGGGAACATGCAGTTCCGTTCAACTCTTAACGTAAACTTTTTTGCACAGTTTGACTAAGAGTCGGTTGACTGTTCGACTGCTTTGGGACTCAGTGAGGGTTCAGCTGCAGAAGCAATTAACTGGGCACTGTAGTTTTGGCTCCATTAAGCTTAAGCCACTGCAATGTTTACAAGCAAGGTTTCTAACTGTAAAACCTGATGATGGAAATGCTTTTAACACTACAGTAGGTGCAAAAAACATGTTTTATATTCTCACTTCTTAGATCTACTATTTACTTATGGGGAATTTTTTCTCTCTTCTGGACGTCTCTGATTTGTTTTTCCATTAATTTACATACTAATCTTTAAACGGATGGATTTATGTACATGGGTTTTGCCAAGTTGTTTTAGGAAGAAAGGTCATTAATTGTCATTAACCTGCATGAGGCCTTAGAATATGAATTTTAAAATGTTTATTTACAAACACAAAACACATAGTGCAGCTTGACACATATATTAAAAAATTAGGGTGGTTTAGTTATATTTAGATGTGTCAGGAATAAGGCTAAAACTGGATTGCAGATCTTTTCTACTCTGCAAAATAAATAAATAAATAAATAAATTTGGAAAACCTGCATCAAGAAGCTCAAAACTGACATAGCTAAATATCCATTTGGGTCACAAGTGTAAAACAAACACAATCAATGGCTCCTTAGATAGGAAGACACATGGCATTAAAAACCAACAACTTGTTGTTAAATTATAGCAAGCAATCCAAGCAAACATCATAATTTTAGAAGTATTATTTTACTTACTACTGACATGATTGTTAAGATGTAGTGCTCCAGGTTGCGTCCATGGTGACGGGCCATTTTGGCGTCCGCGGTCACCATCAGCTCAACGTAGCGAGGGTAGGAGAGGAAGCGTTTGCGCCTCCGAGGGGTAGACGTGCTGTTGTGAGTAGCGTTCTTTTCATCGAGGTGATGCTGATTTATGGTCACTCTGAGAGAATCCACCTCCTCAACAATACCTCCTCTGATCTTGAATGTGGAAGGTCCGTCTGTGTTTTCTGTTTTAACACATTTTTTTTTACAATTACTACAATTCAAATCAAGTTATTATGAATTAAGGAGTTCATCCAAGATGTGGGTAATGATGTAAATGTAAGTAACAGCTTAAAAATACAATAAATTAATTTAAATCACTTATTTAGACATGAATCTTTCTGCAAAATGTTCAAATAAATACATTATATAGCAATATAAAATACATTATACTGTACATGTATAGAAAATAAGGTCAGCCTCACATTTAATTCCACTTTTTATGGCCAGAATAAGTCAGAGCTATAAGACATTAGATTCACATCATTATATTCAACAGGTTTCAACCTCAAACAAACACTTTGGTGTACCTTTGAATACTAAGGATAAGAAGGAAAAGTAATAGTTGTTTTTTTGAAGATCAACACCAAGAGCCTGAATTAAGAAATATGAATAACGTTTTTCAGATAGTTAGTTTGAAGCATCATCATTTGGACACACAAAAAAAGCTCGGTTTAGCATAAAATACATACATAAACTGAAAATGCTGGAAGTGTCGAGGTTTAGACCTGACCAACACACCATCATAAAAATTGATATACATTTCTTGAGGGTGTTTAAGTTAAACGTGAGGACATCTGTAATCAAAACTAAAGCAGAACTGGACCCTTTGACTTGAAAATGACCTAAAACATTCTTGGTGGAGTCAAACTCAAATATTTATCATTCTAAAGTTCAGGGGGATGACTTAAACAGGCTGTATAGGAAAAAGCCAAAACAAATTTAAAGGCTGATATAGAGGAGTGGGAATATATTCACAATAATATTGTTATTATTAGATATGACATTGTTGTGTCATATGAGTCTGCAGCAGATGTACCAGAAGACCACAGTCACTGCTTACACTCACTAGGAGCCTGGTCAGTGTTTTCTTTTATTGGTGGTTAATACAAAAAAATGTAAAATGTTTTAAGGAGTATACCAAATGCATTTAGTGCCAAGGAGCAATGGTTTTATTTGCAGGCTTCAGTCGAATGCATTCAACAACAGTTTCCCGACCATGATGACAGCAGACGACTCGGCATTTTCAGCAGGCTAAGTTCTCTCAGCTGAACTGCACGTGTTGATCTGGCTCTGACCAGGAGATTCCTTCATCATGACAGAGTGAAGTTAAAAGAGGGAGACAGGGGCAGACTATAAGCGTAAGCAGGTTTCTCAAGCAAAGAAAATAAGGGGAAAACTTGCAGAGTTTAAAGGGGACTTAATTGCACGTTCAAGGGTCTACACAAACTTTGAGAGATAGTTCCTAAGAGACATAAATGGGAAAAAAAGAGATTATAATCAAATGCTTTTGATCAAGATAGCACAAAAGTGTGGTCTACCTTATAGCTTTGTCACAGAATATAGAAAACTTACAGCAAAGTGAAAAAAATCCACAAATAAAGCTGCAGAAATATTTAAAGCTGTGTAAGGTTTTAAAATAATACTAAGTGTGATCATCCTATTCAGAATTGATCAATCCATTATCCAGAGATGAAACCAGTAGTGAAAATGCAGCCTCCCAACAGAAAGTGTCAGTTAATTAAATAAAAATGCAATGAAGAGGCCTATGCAGTGCCTAATTTGACCCTCTAAAATTAAGCAGCTCTCTTATCTTGACAGGGTGCATTCTGCAAACTGTTTGGTTGGATCTGTTACTAATCAGACCACCTCATTATAAGATAATTAATACATTCGAATGCTTTAAACCAACAGAACCAATTTTGTATATACAATCTATAAATAATTACTATAATCCCTATTTTCAGCATAAAAGCCATTTGTTAGCTTCTAGATATCACATAAGAACCATCCCTTCAAGAACACCTTCCTGCTTCTTCCAGCTCAATACTCAATCTGTCACATTCTAAGGTCAATGGAAACTTTATTAAAAGCAGGAAAATATATATTTAAAGAGCACAACTGATTTGCAAATTAGTGTTATATTTAATTTGGCTGATGAACAAAAATGCTTATAATTTATTTAGCAATATTACAATAAAAGTACTAATGTGTTTGGGGGGGCAAATTCTGTTACGAAGGGATCAAGTTAAGGGATGCACAAAAATATTGACAGCTGCCCAGTTCATTGAACGCTGGTCTCACATTGCTATTTGCATTCTGGGATTTTTTCATTAATAAACTGCATGCCTGCCCCAGAGTATCTCTGAAAGAGCTGGAGAGATCCACAGCTCATCTAAAGACCTAGCATGATGACGGGACAATGATTTGTCACACATTCCACAAAACTGACCTTTTGAAAAAGAGCAAAGTAATTTTTATAAAACAAGTCTTAAGAAGCTTATCACTTACCAAATAAGAGACACAGAAAGCATAAATAAGGGTGCTCTAATCAGATGAAACACAACCATAACATTGAACACAACAACTCCACATTAAAAAATTCCCCAATGGTGGTAGAATTGGGCTTTGGAGTGACATTGATGCTTACCCCATTTCCAATTGGACAACCATCAAAAAAATTTAGCCAAATATATAACTGAGTGGTTAAGTTCTTATCAAATTGTGGAATTTAGATCTGTTTCTGCTTCATTAAATGTCAAATCAATATCAGATAACTGGGTCATTAGCTGAACTTGTCCAAATGTTGGGGTTTAGGTTGAATAAATGGTGCAGAAATAAGTCATCATTCTCAAAAACTCTATCCAAAATGACCACTTGGTATTTGCAAAAATAAGGTTGATGAAACAGCTGTCTCTAAAGAGGGAATGACACCTACTTGCAGTAGACATGCAGCTATGATTTCTGTAAAACTGAATGTATGCTGGTGAAGATTCTCTGTCATCCAGGTCATAGTCATTCCCAAAAAGTAAAAAAAAAACAATCCAGGGGCTACTATAAGCTTCAAATTCAACTAATTCGGAAATTTTCAATTAAAAGAGCTTCCTGGATGAGAAGCGAAAAATCTTCAAACTTGGAAACAAAGTCCAGTGGATTGTTTTTTTTTGTTTTTTTGTTTTTTTTACTGTTTTGGAAAACTGAAAGTAGTTCTGCAAAAAAGTTTTAAAGGGAGACTGAAAATGAATGAATACCACTTTTTTTGCTTGAAAAGTTCTCTTTAGGCAACTGCTTAACCAGGAAAAACCATCTCAACAGGGAGCTTAAATATGACCTGTCACCTACTTACAGAGCACTTTTAGGAAACAGAATACCCTGAAGATTCACCTCTCACCTGCCCTTACCTGATTCACACTTTAATGAGACATGTGAGCAAAACCACTCTGTCGAGTGAGTTAATGGCCCACCAGAACCCTTGAATGACCATTAACACCCTCCAGGTGACCCCTATGACCAATCCAGAAAGAGGGGTCAGAGCCCCCTATTGATCCCCATAATTCTTTGCTACACCTACAGAATATTCATTGCAATGCTCTGCATGTAACAGCAAATTTATTTAGGTAAGCAACAAATTACTCTAAGCATATAAATAAACATACATCATATTGTGTTAACTCAGTTATAAAAGATGATACCAAAGCAGTTTAGTTCTTCAGAGCTTTCTTTTTTTCCATCCCGAAAAACCTTCTCAACTTTGGAAAAGTCAAAGATAGTGAAGAGCTCAGTTGTATTCACAAACTCAATTTTTCCATAGTCTAGACAAAGAGAGACAGTGTTCATCTGCTTGAAAGACTAAGAGGGATAGAAATGGTGGGGAGGCAATCCGTTTACTGTTCTATGATTATTCAAGCAATGCCCTCTATGGGTACATGAGACAGAGCGTGACTTTCTGGCACATCAAGTCCCAGTTGTTGCTGCTGAGAGGCTATGTCAGTCTTAACATCTGCGCTAGAGTCAAGCCCATCAGTGGCCCTGCACACAAACCAGCCTGCTGTCTCACAACTTAGATGTGGATTTTCATGGAAGAAACTCAATAGGGCCAAAACTATGAGACTAAACCTCTTAAACAGGCTCATCAATACAGACATCAAAGGGATTATCGAGGCACAGAGGACCACCAGCCTCTTCAGAGTAACACTAAGCAAAAGTGAGATGGGAAAAATGAGATGAACATACTGTATGCTCTAAGATATAATAGTATTTGAATCAGTGCAGATTAGCTAAATTGCTTTGAGGTATTATCTCTCTCTAACTGGGTAGTGAGCTACCGCTTACACCACGAGGAGACAGGGTGATGGGCCTCATATACGAACACACAGAGAGATATGACTTCACCATGTAGCCAAATTCAAGTATAGAATACATCCATATCCAACACATTTAGATCTAGGTAAATAGTATCATAAACTTAAGCTCCAAGAGTTCCTTATGAAATAAAAGAAAAATCTATTACTTGATTGTGTGCAAGGCTTTATATAAAAACCAACCAACATGTTCACCATTCTGGGCTCTTGTGGCTATTTTAAATGCCACTGTAACAATAATTATTAGCATGCCGAATGGTAATCATATTATATTACAATGTGAGAAAGGTTGTAATTATCCAGGAGGGATGGACTATTGGTTTAAGGAGGAAAATCTGTTACAATAATAAAAATGAAGTCCTTGCTGCCTTTTACGGCTCAAGGCCTGAGACAACGCATGCCCCCATGTCTTGGACGGGTTTTACCTAAAATTAATTTCCCGGATTGATGAAGTATAAATGAATTGAATTGTCCTAAAGATCGCACTCCAATAAAGATAAAAGTAATCCAGGTTCACATTGCTAATCCTATTTATTTTGATTTCTTTATTGTAGGCTTTTTAGTTGTGTTTTCAAGCAACACTGTGTAAGATTTAACATAAGGATTAGCCTAATTTTAGAAATATTAAATTATTTTCTATAGGTGTATCATGACAGAGACACTGCAGGGGGTGACTCTGCGTCCAAATGGGACCCCAAACTGAGCTCGATCCCAAGCTTGCCGCATACAAGCTTGTCTAGACGGAGCCGCTTTCACTTTACGCTGGTCAGAGGTACATGTGAGTGACGACAGTCAGTTTTTTTACTTATCCAGGATAGTTAGTA